AATAATCTTTTTATCCCTTGATATCTGGGTGATCTCATGATTTTGGAGATGCATGACTCATGGTCACATACACTGGGAGAGTGTAGCGCTGTCAATCCTTTTTAATTTCTAGATGCCTCCCTCTAGGGAAACAATGCTCTCTCACTGCAGATTTCTGACTGAACTGCGATTTGTACAGAGTGTGCAGGCTTTTATCCCTAGCTCTCACACACAGTCTGTAGAGAAGCAAACACACTTGTCCACACAGGATGCCTGGCACAAAATCGGTTGCTGCATTTCTCAAAGCCAAGTGGTACAGTCCCTTAAATGCTGCCTGAAGTGCTCAATCAGTGTTGTCTCTTTCTCCTAATCGCGTGTAAGTGTTCTTTGTGCCTTGTCCAAACCCCTGTCATTTTCAGACCTTCTGCTCACCAGATACTAGTGCAGCACATGGCATGCCAATCATTAAAATAAGAACTGCATCTCATGCAACAGCTTTGTTATTAATGGCTTCACAGTCACATTTTCTCTACTGCTGGGACCGTTGTATCGACACTCTGAGTAAGTATGCTAGAAACACAACTCCTGTCAGAAAGCTGAACTGTTGACTTGCCTGTTGAATTTAGCATGGTTCACTGGAAGTTTTTACTGGTCCTCCTTTATTAAAGCAATCTTAAAAATACTCAGTGACTCAAGTATTCATTGTCAACGTACACGAGATTGAATACACTCAACTGCAAGTGATGTTGAATCTACCATTGACTGTTACCTTATGGAAAAAACATTCTGCCTCAATTTAAGGCAGTGAAGTAATCTGAGTCACCTTCTCTCTCCTCGCCCCCAAAGTGCATCTCTTTTTTAATTTTAAATATAATTGAGAAATAGATTTTTTGGTAATAGGTACTAGATAGTACTTGCTTGTATAGAGGTGTAACAGTGTCCATGTCAGGGAAAACCGTCACAGCTGTAAGTAGTATCTTTGTTGTGCTTTTATACGAGTCTTCTAAAAGAGTTTATTAACCCACCACTCTAAATTTTCACTGAACGTTTATACTTCTACCACCATTTTAAGGAAAACATGTAACAAAGTATATTGGGGAAAACACATCTGAAATGCTACATGTCCAATATTTACTGACTTAAAACACAAAATGCTAATGTTACACACATGTACCGTGGGTTGTGAAAATTAAGAAGTTTAATAATTAATAAGCTCCGAACTTTAAGAAGAGGCAGTCTTGTTTGCTCCTCTAAGTCACAAACTAGAAGACTTTGCAGATGTTCCTGTTATCCCTAAGATCTTATGAATTTTAAAGTACTGGATGCTGGATTTCCTCTGAGAGTGTTTCCCCTTGGACTGCTCTCCTCTGCTGAGTGGCAGCTCTACTGAATATAATCATGTTTGTTTTTATAGATTTTACAGAAAGTGACATCCCATTGATTTCAAGGGGTTATTTTTTTATTATACACTTTGGAAAAGTCAAGAGTAAAATGGCACAAAAAATAAATAGGTAGTATAAAGAGCAATCATGAGGAAAAACTACCTGTGAGATGCTTAAAATTACTTGGATTACCTACCCAAATTCTGGGTTTGCTGCAGGCCACCAGTGAAATGGCACTATTTCAGTTTTAAAGTGCAAAGATGGAACCTGCCAATACAGTAAGTGTGGTCAAGAGTTTTATATACCCTGGCCAGCTTCTGTAACCTCTTTAAAAATGTGACTACATACATTCAACTGTAAGAAAGTAACGGTGCTTTAAGTAGTTGTCTCAGTGTGGAGTTACAGCCTTATTTTTGGGCGCCCACATCTGAAATTGTAGCCAGAGGTTTGAAGGGGTGCTCAGCTGTCCTCACGCTGGGATGGGGGGCTGGTCATGCGTGCAGCTGGCGCTGCTGCCACCACCAGCAAGCACCCTGTGAATCAGGCACCTCCGATTAACACCATACCTGCATTTGCAGATACCGGGTTAACGTTTTAACCTGTTCTTGACACATCCCCTGCCTGTTCACGTCACAGGACCTTTCTCCTCCCTCCCTTTCTGCTGGTCGTTCCGTTGCAAGTTGGCGCTAACGGCTGTTGTGCTGCTTGCTCAGCAGTGCAATTTCCTTTCAGCTCTTTTCAAGGAAGTGAAACCACTGCAATGTATTTTTTTTGTGTTCTGATGTTCCAAAGCAAAATGAAGCACTAGAGGCAGGAGAGAAAGGTGGCTGAGAAGAGCTGCAGCTATGGTGATGGGGAAAAACCCATCTTCACTCAGTGATAGCTCCTGACAGCTTTCGAAAGTGCATGATATAAAGTATGCGCTGGGTTTAGCAGAATAAGTAAGCCTCAGGCCAGTCTTCACCCTGGATATTTTGCCTCTTTTTCTGCTGTCAGCATTAGCAATTGCAAATCCACTTGATGAACGAGTAAGTAATAATTTCAATGTTTTTAAGGAAGCATGTATGTTCTGTCTGAAGGAGCTCAGTGATCTTGCTGTTTAAATTCAGTTTTATTTAAGCAGTTGTCTGTGAAATACATTTTAAGTCTTTCTGCCATCAGCAATGAGGAAAAATTCTTACTATAAGATGCGAACAGTTTGCAAGTTCCTTGGATTTGGATTGACTGAAATTCGGAAGTATGAAATTGATGTATGTAGCAGTTAAGTTAGAACACATGTAATAACACAGGGAAAATGAAGCTGATTTCTGGTGTGTTGCAAAGTAGGTAGAAGCTAGGCCATGCTCAGTAGTCCCAAAAGCTGGACAGTTTTTGGAGAAATGCTATTTAAGAGTTTAACAGCTCTTGTAAGTGAGCAATTCCTGTTTTGTTTAGCAATGGCATTTACACATTGAACTTCGCTTTGTCAAATGTTTAAAAAAACCCTGCATAACGTAAGGGATTTTTTTTTCTGAAAAAACAATATTTTTATAAAACTGCCATGTTTTCAGTTTCTTTAAATTGATGGTTTGCAGATGGTTCTTTTAAATTGTTAGAACCATGTTTGAGTGGAGGCAAGTTGTATGGATTTCTGTTCAGTTACAGTGAAGCATTCTCATAAGAATACTTACAGCATCCTGGGAATGAACATCTTAAAGTAAGTCTATGTTGTATTGGGAGCCTCTCTGCAAATTTAAGGAAGATACTTTGACACAGCAACTGCCATTAGTACAAATATCTATGTATCTTTATGGAGTGTCAGAAGACATTGTGAGTGAATTGGAAGGCTATAATTAATAGAAGCTATAAAAAACAATTAATATTCCTGTTTTGGAGGAAAATAACTATCATTTATTTGTAGATGTTTGTAAAGCATTGGCTGCTAACTTCTAGTATTTGACCACCCTTTGAAATATTTTGACTAGTTTTGTTTGAATAGTAACAGTTGCAGTTTTGTATTTAAAAGCCAAAAAAATGAATAAAATATTTTGAGTTCACAGTGCCTGCTTAGCATCTTTAACATTTTCCTCTCTATCTTTGTGGTTGAAAAACATGTCTGTCTTGTGATCTTGAGTGCTCTGCCCAAGATAGTTAACAAAGGGTTCTTTTATTTTGAAAGTCCTCACATACTAAAGCTTTTTAAAAATGTACTTAAACACTTCATGCTTGAAAAGAAAGCACAGGTATGCACTGGAGGACTTAGGAAACAAACTTGCTGTGAAGTTTCCAAGACTATGAAAAAGGACTAAGTTTCTCAAAGGTACTGCTGAAGAAAAAACACAAATTTGTGTCTCCCATGTCCTGAAGGACAACTTCCTTCTATTTGCTGGAACGTTAGAGGCACCCTGTGTCAGAACACAATCAGTTACCCAAATACAAACAGTTAAGCGGAAACATTTTGCAAATTCAGGCAGTTACTGTTTGGCATTTGTAGAGATTATGTTTTCATTAAAAGAAAAAAGAAAAAAATAAGAAAAATAAGTTTCCAGGCCTTGTGTTTGCAAAGCAAACCTTCCATATGTGAAATAAATGCAAACAGATGAAGCTTTCCTTCATCCTGTCTGAGACTCCAGGAAAGCTTCAGCATAAAGACAGCCATCTCCAAGACCATTCAACCTGGAAATACGAATTCACATGCACCTTGGTGAAGAAGGTGCTGGAAAGGGAATATGCTGTAAATAACTTTCAATAGCAACAGTACATGAGCTCTAACATTTCACAAAACATGTTTCTGAAAGAAAATGGGGGTCTTTTAAGTATTTGAGGAAATTAAAAACCAGCCATAGGGTATGTTGGTGCAAGCAAGGATAATTTTGGAGGGAAATCTGTTCTAGGATCTACTTTATCAGGAACAGGAGGTTTTATTTATAAGGTTATGCTAGCAAGTGCTAGCATATCAATCCCTAGCCTGTTCATTTTTTGCTATTTCGTCATTAACTATATGATGTAAAACTATTATTTCCTTCTGAAAATTAGCTTCTTCAGATTGCATCCAAATAATCTCTGTATTGTTTGCCGACAAAGGATTTTTCTGGTTTAATTAAATGTATACATATATGTATATAAATCAATATATTAAATGTATATATAAAATATCAAATATGTGTGGCATCTGAATTCACTAATCACATAAAATACTAAGCAGAAAAAAGTTTCACAATACTCAATTCACTGGATTGATATGTCTAATTGAGTAGCAGTGGTCATTGTCATGATACTTCATTACAAATATAAGAATCGGATCAGACTTGCAACTCATCTGATGAAATAGGGGAGGTTTATTGCCTCAGTTTGAAATCCCATCTATCTATGTATAGAGAGAAACTTTTAAGCCATTTTTGAGCAAGTTCTGTCACATTTTATGTGTTCTCAAAAGTAAAGCAGTCTGAAAGAATATACATAAAGACTAGAGAGTTTTAGGGATTTAAAAGATGGGGTTTTCTGCAACTACATACCTAAGTTTGTTTTATTTTTGTGGCAGTTAGTAGGACTAGTATGAATAGGAAGACATGGAAATATTCCTCAATTTACTGTACATAGTATGTCCGTTATGAAATATTGACAGCATTTTTTTTTTCTTTTCCCCCTCCCCCAGTGGCCACAGATGTCTTCAACTCCAAAAGTCTGGCTATTCAGGCCCAGAAGAAGATCCTTGGAAAAATGGTGTCCAAATCAATAGCAACTACTTTGATCGATGATACAAGCAGTGATGTTTTAGATGAGCTCTACAGAGTCACAAAGGAATATACACAGAATAAAAAAGAAGCAGAGAAAATAATAAAAAACCTCATTAAAATAGTCCTCAAATTGGCAATTCTCTACAGGAACAACCAGTTTAATCAGGATGAAATAGCATTGATGGAGAAGTTCAAGAAGAAGGTTCATCAGCTGGCTAAGACCGTGGTCAGTTTCCATCAGGTGGATTATACCTTTGACAGGAATTTTTTGTCCAAACTGTTAAATGATTGTAGAGAGCTTCTTCATGAAATCATTCAACGTCACCTAACTGCAAAGTCACATGGACGTGTCAACAATGTGTTTGATCACTTCTCTGATTGTGAATTTTTGGCTGCCTTGTATAATCCCTTTGGACCTTATAAACTCCATTTGCAGAAACTTTGTGATGGTGTCAACAAAATGCTAGATGAGGGGAACATATAAGTACTTGTATTAAAGTTGACTGCCTATGCATTATTTGTAGATGGAACACTGTTGATTTATGAAGGAATAAGGGAGCATGCAAAAAGTTTGTTTTTTTGCTTGTTTGGATTTTTTGTTTGTTTGTTTTACATTATGAAAAATATTTCCAAAATATCTTTATTAAATTGATTCCTTATTATGAGCTATCTGTTGCATTCACGCTCCATCTGGAAGAAAGACTGCACGTGACTTCTTTTACTGTGCTTTGCCTTCAGAAACAGCTGGATAAAGACAATAAAACAGAACAGTCCAAGTAGAGTAAGAGTCTTGCAAGATAGATACACAAAACAAAACAATATGCTGTTAGACAATCTGCATATTTAATAGATTTACAGAATTAGTTCTAAACAATCAGAGTTCAGTAATATTAGTAACAAAATATGATGGTGATGGTACACTGTAGAATTTCCTTCACTTACTTGTAAAATACATATATTTGATTAATTTATAGTATTTTATGCTCTCTGCACAAATCACAGCTTCCTAGTGTTGCCCTTATGAAGCATTCAGTTTTAAATAATACCCGTGATGCTGTCATATAGAGTCTTAATAGGCTTGTCCATCTCCAGCTCAGTGGTGAAAACTTCTGCAAGGCTACCAAGTATAGATCCTTATAGACCCGCACAGATGCTTGCTTCCTTTGATTATATGGGGATTATTTGAGGAATAAGCTACAGTAAAATAGCCTGACTGGGGAAGTGTATTCCCTAGAAAACACCTGCGGTACATATTTTTAACTTTGTCTATGATGAGGTAAAACATAGTGACTTATGTGTGCAATTCTATAAGATAGTTAGAATCCTGCTAATAGGTCACAATTATTTTTGAAAAAGTGTGAGTCAGTGTATTTTATACTCTAGGCTGATGTATATGATGATGTGAATTAAGGAAGTCTGATCATCTGCTATTAATTTCCAAGCCAGTTTGCTTTGTGTAGAATGAAATAAGTTTTATCATTGCATTATATACTATTTAACTAATGGAAAAAATGGAATCTTGAATAAATTCTTTTCTTCCTTTCTCCCCTCCCACCTTTCATCCTTCTTTCTCTTCCTCATCTTCTTTCTGCCTTATTCTCTGGGGATAAAAAAAATGTGACTTTTGAGACACTGTAATGTACTTAAAAGTATGAAATTAATACATTTCAAATGCCTGAAGACTTTTTGTTAGGAAGCATATAAAGAATTTGCTGTTTATTTAATTGCTATTTTTTTTTTTGCTGTTTGCTGTGTCCTTTTGTTTTAATGAGTAAACCAAAGAATATTTGCACTTTGAACTTTCCATGCCTATTTTTTTTCCCTGTCGTGCATTTTAAATTAAAAGAACAAACTTGGCTTGTAGTGACAATGAAAGCATCACAGCCTCTGACATACGGCTTCAGCATTACTAGTGATATTTTTAACAGAGAAAATACACTTTCATGTTCCTTTGGTCACTATGCTCTGAATAAGTCCAGAAAGGTGCCAGGGAAATGTGTGTTCAAAATGTAAACTATAAGCCACTAGTATCCAGCAGAAAGAGAAGATCCCTGTGCTATTAGGCTGGAACAAAAGGGAACTGATGTAAGGATAGTATGCCAGAACTTGACAAGAAATAGATTATTAGGTTGATATCTGAAGCAACATCATTTAAGGTCCCATCCCATGTTTTACTTAAACAGAAAATACATTGTACTTTTTTCAACCAGACATCATGCATCAGAATGCAGTATCATGAAGAAAATCCCACACATTGAGAGTATAGTTTCTGTATTTCTATATTTGCTCCACCTATTTCTTTTCCAATCTAGAAAGAGAAAGCTGTTTTCTTTCCCACTTCTTTGCTCTGAGATGTAAATAAAAAGGAGCATTACTTGTAGAAACTGAAACAGTTTTCTTTACAAATCCTATTTTTAAGTCATGTTCTGATTCTCCAAAATAGCATAGTTTAAAATGAATGGTAACAGTTCCTGAAAGGGGAGGACAGGACAGTACCTTCTTTGGAACTAGACATAATATATGCATGTGCTGTGTAAACTACAAAATATTTTCTTTAGCCATGACCCAGAATATTTTGACTACTTGAATTGGTATTTTCTCTGGGACAAAAATTGCTTAAATGGGCTTTTAACATCGTTAAGGAACATCTACTTATATGTGTATGAGCCATATTGTAGTCGAACTATTTATATATTGTGTAACACAGTAACTTCTTCCTCAGTTGCATTAGTTAGCCATTTCCTTTTTAGAAAAAGTGAAAATTGCTCATGGGGATTTGATTATAAGCATAAAAACTAGACAACTAGAAGAAGTTATAGCTAGCTGACAATCTAGTTGCATTCTTTTGAGATGCTGTAACAATAGTTCTTGTCTGGTGTTCATTTTCAATTACAAAGAAGTGACTTCTGTGACATGAAATAAAACAATTGTGCTGAATTTCCAAAGACCTACTTTTATAAATAACACAGTGTAGCACTCAAGCTGTATAAGTCTGCAGTTAATTTATTTTTCCTGCATCATACATAATTAGTGGGTTTAACTATCAAAGTTCAGAAATAAACTGATAGTATTGTTCCTTGCAATACACTTGAATCAGCCCTCTAACAGAAACCTGACATAGTCAAGAGTTTAAAAAGGTTACAGTAGTAGCTTTTTAATTAAGGATTGGATAATGCCATTATTCTGTGCTGTAAAATGGATGCAACACTGTGTTTTATTGGGGTAAAAAAATTTGTATTAAAATTCAATCATTCGTTCATTTTACAATAGGCTTTTAAATATCAGTACCTTAGATGTTTCATATTTGTACCATCCTTTCAATGTTTTGTTAATATGTAGTGCCCAAAGCCATATGTTGGTGAAGTTGTGGAAGTAAAAACTGACACTATAGCCTTTTAGAGGCACTAAAAAAAGGGGTGAGACCGTGAATACCTTTTGCAATTTATCAAACAACTCATGAGTTCAGCCACACAAAGAAAACAAGATATAGGGAGGTTATCTCAGCCATTTTGTGTGTGCCATCTTAAAGGATTTACTAGAACTTTTTGGCCCTTAGTTATGTTTGTATGCATTAGTGTCTATGCACAAACAAAGAGATACAACTGGGTAAATTACAATCCTTATTCTTGTCCTTAAGCTGTTTTGAGATTTATCACCATTCAGAAGGCACTGAGATTATCAGGAGTATGGAAGCTTTCAGCAGCTGGTGTGGGATTGTTTGCTGTTTTTTTTTCTCTAGCAAAATACCAAATCATATCTCTTCCAGAAGAAGATTCAACCCCACCCATAAAGCAAATTCCTGGGGGGGAAAAAAAAAAAAAAAGAAAAAAAAAAGAAAAAAAAAAAAAAAAAAGGAGTTAGAAAGGAGCCAAGGAAGCAGCAAACTGAATTTGATGGCAGCTGGCTTCAGTTGCTTTCCAGCCCCTTGGTGTAGCTATAGCAGCTATAATGTGATTATTTACAGGTAAATTGGAATTTTTCATGTGACTGTTCAAGGGACCAGAATATGCTTGCTTTCATGGATTAGCAGACAGGAATCCACACTACTCCTAAGTACATAATTGTCAAAGGTGATAGTGTTACAAGGAGGATGGGTAAACTGCACATTTTATGGTCTTAGATGATCTCTCTATAATGCATATTCACCCTCTGATGACCTGCTACCACAGCTTTCCTTTGGCCTTACATGCTTTTCCTGCCCTTCTGAGCAGTAGAACTGCTTTTGAGACAGGTGTACTCCTCTACTTCTTTTGCCCCAAGATTATTTTACATTGGCTACATACTGGCTCAAACCAGGGCATGTATGCATCTAAGGAGAAAAGTAGATAGGATGTGTTACCCACTTAGTGAAAGAAAAAAACAACACACCAAAACCAAAAGAGCTAACCACTGGTTTCCTGGGGGTTTTTTGCAATGTAATTTGAAATCTGAAAGAATAATCTACATCATGAGTTGTTAATACTCTCGGATACAATCTATACCCTCATAAGTATTGTAAGCACTTAGCTGTGATTTTAGTTAATGTACTTCTAAGCCTTTAGAAGAAAAACAATTTTAAAAATAGTGCTTTTTAATGGATTACAGACGGTATACTTCAGCATGAACATGAAACAAATATTCCTGCTTGCATAACCATTTGCAGAGAAACATTCTTGTTAGAACTGTTTTTCATTGAGATATGGGCAGGTCAGCCAGCATTCATGGTTAAGTGGCAAACATCTGTGCTCTGGATAAAACAACTGTCAAAGGAGATTACAGTTGTCCAGAAAAGTTCTGTAACATCTTATTTTTATGTTTTGCACAGAAATGAAACTTCCTTTGGGAGAGGAAGGTTTCCTATCTATCTTTAAAAAAAATAAAATAATTCTACCCAAAATCACACTGTGGTTACTACTCAGAAAGTTTAGACTTAGTAATATAGTTGTTAATTTCCAATTTGTTAAAAAAACAGGAAAGCCTTGAATTTGTTCTTATAGGTTAAGAAATTATAAAAAAATAATTAATACTAAATTGCTAATCTATTTGTGCTGAAATTTTCATACTGCAGCACAAATAATATTGCATCTTTGACATTCCTAGCTATTGTATTAAATATTCCAGGTTGCCACATGATTAATTTCCCCTCTATGGAAACAGAGGAGTAGTATCTCCTGAAAGGCTATGTCAAACAGTTCTGTCTGGTATTGTAGTGCTTGATCTATATTACAAATCAAGATTTCTTAATGTTTAAACCACAAATTGCTGAAGTGATCTCTCTTTTCTTAGTACTCAATATTTAGAGTTCTGGTTTCCAATTTTAAAGCTTGTATTTATAAGCAGGACATTTCTGAATCAATAACCACTTTTTCCTGAGAGCTTGGGAAATACAGGAACTGACCTGTATCTGCTAGCAACTGTAAATTTCTGCTTGGTATCACACCACCAGCTTCTGGAAAAGTATTCCTTACTGCATTTCTTTCTATTAGGGAGCAAATTGGAAAGAGGCAGTTCATAGCTTTGGGTTTTCCCATAATTACATAGTATCAAGCAATCAAGGAGACTATAATGATTAAGAATA